AAAGTAGCACCCACAAGAGACAATGTGAAAGACAATCCAAGATGTTCATTTTCAGACTGGAATTGTTAGGTAGCAAGTTGGAAATTAGCCTTGGGTGTGAGAAGGGCCTAAGGAAAACACAACCAATGGAAAGGAGAGCAGGCAGCCCTGTATTTTACACAAAGTCCTACTTACAACCTAGTGGTCCACCTATTTCACATCCACTAACCCTTTACCCAGTGCAAAATGGGGTGGGGAGTCTGAGTTTGTTCTTGTAACTCCTAGGGCTACAGATTTACTTTTTTAGACATGTACATTGTCTTATTTTCATATTGTGGTAGAATACTCATAACATGGCATCTATATAAGTGGAAACACACGGTATTTATCCTTTTCTGTCTGCTTTTCCACTAAGCATAATGTTTTATGTTTTGTCTAGGCCTAATTGTATTTATTATATCCAGAAAGCACATCTTGTCTACCCATCGTGGTGGACATGTTGATGAGCCGTTCCATCCCTGAGTTGCTGGGGATCGTGCCGTGGGAACATCCACTTAGTGTCTCTGCTTTCAGTTCTCTGGCCGCACACCCAGAAGTGGAACTGCCACATGGTGTGCTATCTGCATGCTTGGCTGCATGGAATTGTACCATTGCATATCCCAATACCGCTTATCCTGGCCAACAAGTATGTTTTATGGTTTTTGTCTTTTTGTTGGTTGTAACCATTCTACTGGGTATGATGTTGTCTTATCGTCGTTCCGATTGTGTCCTAATGATTGATAATGGTGAATACCTTTTGACCAGCTTATCTTCATTTATGCATCCTCCTTTGATAACTGTATTTTCAAGCCTTTTGCTCATTATTCATTCGTGTTGTTTATTACTTTTCAATAACATAGAGAGTTGATGTTGAAAGCAAGACCCTGGGGTCAGTGATGTTGCGTAACTGGTTAAAGGCACTATAAGTACCGCACCATTGCATAAGTTCCCAAGTTTGTGTCCCGTTGACTCCACTTCCAATCCAGCTCCAAGCTAACAACCTGGGAAAAGCAGTGGAAGATGGCCCAAGTGCTTCAGCCCTACCACACATCTGGGAGACCCAGAGGGAGCTTCAGGTTCCCTGCCTTCAGCCTGGTGCAGACACTTGGGGAGTGAGCCAGACGATGGAGGACTTCTTTGTCTCAGTCTCTCCCTTTTCCTGGGTAACTCTTCCAAACAAATAATTTTTTAAAAATAAGAAAAGAGAAAGATCCAAATGCCAACAGGTCTGTTGAGTTTCAAAGCAGCACTCTTGAACTGTTAAACAAGAGCCAGGCAGGACCGAACATTGTCACAAACAAGTTCCAGGCATATTTAGGCAAAACAAAAGAAGGGTTTCACTCTTACTTTACTTTAGAACACACTCCTTGTGTTGCTCTTCCAAGGCTGCTGGTGCATGCTCCTGGATCACATCTGAGAGCTGGTGCTCGCTACACGGAGAACATTGACTCACTACGGGTAAAATCCACTCTCAGCAATCCTCAGTGCTACCTCTGTGTAACACCAGTGTGCATATCTAACACAGCCAAGATCCATTACCACCTTGTACAGAAGTGCATGGCTGATGGGAGCTCAGTGGGAAATGAAGCCTGCATTAAGGAGCAACTGCCCTTGCAACTTTCCTTCTGGGGCCCCAATGTAAGTGCATGTCTTGTCTTTCCTGGACACCACATCTGATATCTCCGCAGAAATTCTTTATCTTTTTATAGATATTAGCAGAGATGGCTGGTAGGGGATTTAAAAAAAAAAAAACCTATTTTTATTGGAAAGGCAGATCTACAGAGAAGGAGAGACAAACAGAAAGAACTGCAATGTGCTGGTTCATTTCCAAAAGCTACAACAGCTGGACTAAGCTGTCTGAAGTCAGGAGACTCTCCAGGTCTCCCTCACAGTGCAGGGTCTCAAGGCTTGGGGCCGTCCTCCACTGCTTTCCCAGGCCATAAGCAGGGTGCTGGATGGAAAGTGGAGCAGCTGGGACACAAACTGGCACTCATATGGGATGCAGGTTCATGGGGCTGATGTTTAGGCAATTGAGCCATCACGCCAGTCTCTTGCCCCCTCCCCCGACAGAAGTTCCTGTCTTTGCAAGATGAAGAATTCAGGAATGAGATCAGTGGTAAGCAAGGTAGCTAGTTTAATGGGGCAGGTAAGCCCCTCTCCAGATTGAATCAGAGAATGACCAGCCATTTAGATGGGGTAAGCACGTTTAGTAGTTTAGAGGTGAGAAATTACACGGCTGGTTAGGTGGGTATCTCAGCTAACAACCAGGAGCTGAGGGCTGAAGGACATCTGTGAGCAGATGGGCACCTCGGGCAAGGCTGAGAGTGCAGTGTGTGTGCTCAGACGGGGGCCTTTAAAGGAGCCAGGCTCAGGTCTTTGCACGACTCCTCCTTCCCCCGCCCTCTCCTGGACAAAGGGTTTGCTGGATTTTGAAACAGGTCAAATTCCTCCCACGGTTTTATGATCCATCTTATCGCACTGGATAGCCATCTTGGCACCAGACAAATGGAACCTGCTTGGGGTGTACCCCTCCGGGGAAGACTAGGGCCGCCTTTAAAGTTATTGGGAAGCTTTGTAGTGTAGAATTGTGGGCTGCTTTCAAGGCCTGCTTCCCTTGGCTGCTGGCAGCTGCTACACTCCTATGGGTGCACACACATAGGCTAGTTTCTAACTTCCCACCCAACCTAGGCACTATAGTTTATATTCTCTGTCTCTTTCATCCTATTGTAGGGGTGAGGCTCTAGAGCCAACCTATTAGACTTCCCCAGGTCAGCAACTTGCTAGCTGGGTCACCTTGACAAATCCCCTATTTTTGCTGTTGCTCAGTCTCCCCTCTGTCTCGGGGACCCTTATTAGCTTAGACACTTGCCTAGCACGTGTAGCTTTGCCTGGCACACAGCAAATGCTTACAAAGCTAAGGCTCCTGGAGATGATCACAGCCCTGGCAGAGTATCCACAAGGGAGGCTGCTGAGAGGGTCATCTCTGCCTTGTGACCTTTTATGGCTTTAAAGAACGGGTGTGTCCGTTTGAAAAGTCAAGTGAGAGAGAGTGTGCACTTCCACCCCCTGGTACACTGGGGCAAGTCCAGCCACGTGGAAGCCCAGAGGCTGCAACTCCACCTAGCTCTCGGTCCAGGAGTGACAAAGACTCAAGACCTGAGCCAGCATCGACTGCCTCCCAGGCAGTTTGACAGGACACAGGCACAGGATAGCTTTGATTCCAATAAGGGGCTTCCATATGACGGCACATGGTTCTCCCAAGTTCTACACAGGCAGTTGAACTGACTGTGCCATAGCACCTGCCATTGAATGTGCTATTTATCAAAAATAAAATGTAGAAAAAGAAATAAAATGACATCTCCCAACCTCCCACTAATGCAGCTAGCACAGAGAAGTGTTTGCTTGTTTGTCACTCTCAGGCTGGAAACCTTCATCAACTTTTAGAACCTAGAGGCCAACAAGGGCTCGAACCCGAGGCTAGAACCTAGCTTCATCCAGGAGCCTTTGGGGGGGGGGGGGGGGTCCCTGTTCTGCGAGAAACTACAACTCCCAGAAGACCCCGGGCAGACACTGGGAGGAGCACGTGACGGCGCATCTGACAGCTACGCGTGGTCTCGGTTCCACCCGCCCCGGAGTCCTTCACCTGGGGAGGCACCTGCGCGTGTTTGCATGCCAGGCCAGCGCCCTGGAAACCTCCCCTGCAGCCGGCAAGGACCAGGGAAGCCAGATACCCCAGGGCGGGCTGGTGACATCCCTGCGGCCCCGGGGCCCCCGGGCGGGGTGAGAGGGAAGCCGGGCGGGCGGTGTCCTGGCGGGGGTGACTGTCCCTCCACGCCAGGCAGCAGGCGAGCCAGGAGGCTAAAAAAACCGCATTTCACGCCTTTCTGGGCTGGGTGGCTGTGTCCCGCTATTTTCTGCACCTTAACATCATGACCAGTTAACTACATATTTAAAATGTAATCACCAGGTTGTGAAACGCTAAGCACTCGCCCTTGGCTGCTGGGTTTCCTATGTCCAGATAAAAGAAACAGCCACTGATCAGTACAATAAAACGGTGCTTTTAATTTTATTTGCCTGTTTTACTCAATCCTTGCAGTCTTATTCCACATTTATTCTCTCTCCACCCCCGCCGCCGTGTCGCTGCTGCTCACGAGCCCATCCTGGGAATCTCCATTTGTTTCTGCTTCCGGCTGCCGAGCCCTTCCGTAAAGTTTCGGTTGCCGTCCGCGGGCCTCCTTGCACAAGCCTGTGCAGGTGTGCGAGGGCTACCCGGAGATGGACGCGGGGGAGCGGGACTGCGGGCGCAACCCATGCCTGTCCCGCTTCCAGACGAGATGGGCTTCCGGGCTCGGAATCCAGGCTTCTCCCCGGAGCCGGGGTGGTCAGGGGGTGGTCGGGGTGGTCAGGGGTGGTCGGGGGTGGTCGGGGTGGTCAGGGGTGGTCAGGGGTGGTCGGGGCGGTCGGGGGTGGTCGGGGTGGTCGGGGTGGTCAGGGCGGTCGGGGTGGTCAGGGGTGGTCGGGGACGGCCGGGGGTGGTGGGGGTGGTCGGGGCGGTCGGGGTGGTCGGAGGTGGTCAGGGGTGGTCAGGGTGGTCAGGGGCGGTCGGGGTGGTCGGGGCGGTCGGGGTGGTGGGGGTGGTCGGGGCGGTCGGGGTGGTGGGGGTGGTCGGGGCGGTCGGGGTGGTCAGGGGTGGTCAGGGGTGGTCGGGGCGGTCGGGGGTGGTCGGGGTGGTCGGGGTCGGCTGCGGGCGGCCGGGGGCGGTCGGGGTCGGCTGCGGGCGGCCGGGGGCGGCCGGGGGCGGTGGGCAAGTCGGTGGCAGGCACGGCGGCCTGGGCGGCCCTTCCATTGAGAAACCCCTCGGCCATCACGTGAGGGAGGCGAGCGGCGCGCGACGTCACGAGGCCCGGGCCAATGGGGGCCTCTGTTTATGTCGCGGCGTAGGGGGAGCCGCCGAACATTCTCGCCCCCGCCGGCCCTCAGGCTGCGGCTCCGGGAGATCACGGCGCTTCGCCCGCCGCCGCCGGCTCCTCGGCGCCCGCGTCCAGGCCCGCAGCGGTCGGCCGGATCCGCGACCCCGCCTCGGCGCCTGGAGGACATGCGGGAGGGAGAATGAGCCAGAGAGACACGCTGGTGCATCTGTTTGCTGGGGGGTACGTCCCCGCGGGGAGCGGTGCTGGGCCCGGGGAGGGGCTGCAGCCGAAGCCCCCCCGAGCACCCGCCGAGGTGCGAGCGAGCCGGGCTGCTGGGCCCCGCGGTGCCGCGCGAGGAGCGCCGAGGCCCAGGACAAAATGGGCGCCGGCGTCCCCGCCTTCCCGCGGCCGCACGTTGCTCACGCCGCCGACTGGGCTGCCGATTTCCGGGCAGGCCGCCTGGGGCGAAGTTGGGGGCTCGGGCGGTGCTGGGGGGTTCGGGCGGTGCTCGGGGTCTTGGGTGGTGCTGGGGGGTTTCAGGCGGTGCTGGGGAGCTCGGGGGGTTTCACGTGGTGCTGGGGGACTCGGGGGGGTTCAGGCGGTGCTGGGGGGCTCGGGCGGTGTTGAAGGGCTCCAGCTGCCTGGGGGGAGTGGGCTTGGGCGGTGCTCGGGGTCTTGGGTGGTGCTGGGGGGTTTCAGGCGGTGCTGGGGGACTCGGGCGGTGTTGAGGGGCTCCAGCTGCCTGGGGGGAGTGGGCTTGGGCGGTGCTCGGGTGCCGGGGGCATGCCGGCTGGCTCCCGGTGCAGGTGGGAGGTGGCGTGCAGCGACCGTGCCGGGTGGGTGGTCTTGGGGTAGAAAGCAGAACTGCTGTGCACAGTCGCTGCTTTTTGCTTCTCTGGGTGGGGGTGGGGAGAGGTCAGACGCCTTGGAGAAGGTTTCCGGGTACCCGGTTAGAACTAAACCCAGATCTCGAATGGCCACCCCAGCTCACCGAGCTGGGCAAGGATGCCCTGTAGGGTTGTTTCCTCCAGATTTGGTAGAGCAAAGCCATTTCACGTGTTCTTGATGGGCGAAGACGACGAAGCTGAGCTAGCTTAGACACCTCTTCCAAGGAGTAGTGCTTCCTGAAGCCCGCAGTTTGATTTTAGTTACTCAGCAAGAAGAATATTGAAGAAATACAGCACACAGCTGTGTTCAGGGTGTCCTGCTCTGAGCCGCCCTAGCTGACTGTCACAGTGTGGTAATAGCTTCCCGAGGTCAGAACACACTGTCGCAGAAATATCAATTATGGGGCAGCCATAGTTTTAGCCTCGATTCCCTTAGTTCATGGTACCCAGTTTAGTTTGCTTTCTGGAAGATATGCTGCCAGGAATTGATCAGTTGTTTTTTGAATACAGAAGCTATGTAGATGTTTGCAAATAGTTGGACTCCCTCAGTAACTACCCCTCAGGTAACTTCTCAAAGTGTGGAGGCCCCCTTCGCACTCTGTGCCAAGTGGACCAACCCCTTCCATTGCTTCTTTCTAAAATGAGGGGATTGTACTGTGTATGGTCCTAGGTTTCCCCTAGCTTCTAATATTTCTGTTAACCCACATGTCAAAGTTTGTTGAAATGTGGAGCACACTCCTTTGATATACATGTTGACTGAACTGGAGTAATTTTAAAGTTTGGATTTCAGGGTCTGCCACTTTATTGTATATACCAGCACATGTAGTTTTTTTGTTAGAGAAGTAATAGTAGATATGTTTTGTATAAACAGAAATTGGAAATTTCCCTTTATCCCCTTCCCCAAGTAAGACTTGCCTGCAAGTTCTGTGGAGTGTGGAGTGAGGTGCTGGTGCTGTCCGGCGGCTGCCCAGCCTGGGCCATTGCATCAGACAGGCTCTTTTAGTGAGACTTTAGGACCAGCAAGGATGAGGAAAGCCAGCTGGATTAGTCTGTTCAAAATAGGGAAAAATACCGAGGTCTAAACATTTCCTTATTCAAGATCAGGCAGTTTTTTTGTGCTTATAACGTGAGGGCTAAGTAATCCTGTAAGATCCTGCCAGCCCTCGTATAAATTCAGTTCCTTGGAACTTTCTGCAAGTTTGTGCTTAGCATTGTGCAAATACAAACCAGCCAGTTGTTGGTAACATTGTTCTTAATTGAAGCTAATTCTTAACACATCAAATTTGCTAATTGAAGCAGTCATTTGTAGCATGCTCTCACTTAAAAATGCTTATTCTGATAGAATTATGTAAACTGGAAGTTAACATTGTTTTCACTTTAATACTAGGAGTGGTCTTTGGAGTGTTGTGTGGTAGGGACAGTGAGCTTGTCATGGCGTAGAGGGAAGGGTGCCCTGCCATCTCCTGCGTTCTCCCACCTAGCACACACATCAACACACCATCCCAGGTTCAGCATTCAAACTGAGAATAGATTAATTTTTTTCCTGTCCCGAAATGCTACATGTGTCTTTAAAAATATTCTTTTAGTATTTTTTGTTTTTGTATTTATCTCATTTCACATCTGCTTCCCTTGCCATTTTAAAAATTTGTTTCTTGCCAAAATATAAGCTTTGGAGAAAATACTTAATACGGTTTCTTGGCAGAACTTTGTTAATGGGTTTTATAGGATTTCCAAGCTAGGCTACACATGTTGAGACCAGAAACCTCCTTGCGCTTGTCACACTTGAGCAGAGCCTTTAGTTAGTGTTTCCTAATCTGGCTAAGGTCCAAGTAAGTGAACTGCAGTGGAGACTGTGAGCAGGAAACTGACAAGATAGTTGAACCTATTCTTGTTTTAAAAAGTTAAGCACTGGTTGTCTGAGAGTAGGTTTGCTTAAAGTAAGCAAAAATGAGTTGTAAAGTACCTTTTTAAATATACACTATCACACACTTAATTGTTGGATCTCATCAGAAAATATTTTGCCCATTTACAAGTCACATGTGCTCAAAGTGCTGCTGTTGAGAACATGGCTGATGACTGTTCCTTTCCAGACCTTCCCTTGCGGAAGCCCCAAGTGCCTCAGGCTTCCCCCGCAGCCTGGGAAGGGTCCTGGAAGCTGAGCAGGAGGCTCTGCGGCTGAAAGGGCTGCGTGTCTGAGCCCCTGACCGTGGGTCCTAACTGCACGGGGCTGGGATTGCTCTGCCTGCTGTTCATGCAAGTCCCGTGCACAGCTTCTGCTCCCCTTCATCTCCCATGGCCGGCCACACATCCCTGTGCTGCCGACACTGGTGTGGGAGACTTGCATGAGGCCTCCTGTGGAGGCCTTGCTCCTTGTACTGTACACTAGCTTGACAAGCCCCTACAAACAGCTTTTACCTTTAAGTTCTGTAAGGTGTGTAGTAATCACAGTGTGGGGAAGCTTGCCTTCTTTGCCCATTCTGGTCCTTGTATCTAACCTCATACTCTTTCTGGTCAAATTGCGCCTAAATTATACAACAGGTGTTTCCATTTGCAGAGCATCCTGTTAGTTGGTTATGAAACCATTTGATATATTTGTGATTCTTCTTTTTCTTTTTTAAAAATGTATTTATTTAAAAAACATTTACAGAGTAAAGGAGAGATAGAGAGGGAGAGCTGTCTGCTGGTTCACCCCCAAGTGGCTAACAGCCAGAGTTGAGCTAATCTGAAACTGAGTGCCAGGAGCTTCTTCCTGGTCTTCCTTGTGGGAGCAGGGGCCCACGCACTTGGGCTGTCCTCTGTTGCTTTCCAGGACATAAGCAGAGAGCTGGATGCGAAGTTGAGCAGCCAGGTCCCGAACCTGCACCCATAGGGAATGCTGGCAATGGAGGCAGAGCGTTTGTTCTGTGGACACGCTGGCTGGCCCTGTAACCCACTCTTTCAACAAGGATAAATGTTGTACACATTGATCTCAAGTTTTCTATGTCAAAATAAGCTCATCTTTTAATTCTGTTTTCTATGAAACTTTATTTGTGAATGGGAGCTCGTCTATGAAACTTTTTAAAAATATGATTTGAAAGGCAGAGACAGAGAAATGGAGAGAGCATCCAACTGCCTGTTCCTCTGAAGGCCCACACTGGCTGGGGTCAGGGTCTGGGTGTCCATGAGAGGGCAATCCTTCACTGTATCTACATTGGCAGGGAGCCTGGCGGGAAACTAAGCTAGGCAGGGACCCAGGCCTGTGCTGTGGGATCACAGCTTCATGAAGCACAGGGACCCAGGACTGCTGCGAAGTGGGGTCTGGATCACAGCTTTATGAAGCACAGGGACCCAGGACTGCTGCAGAAGTGGGGTCTGGATCACAGCTTCATGAAGCACAGGGACCCAGGACTGCTGCAGAAGTGGGGTCTGGATCACAGCTTCATGAAGCACTCTTCTTTCCATGAAGTTCTTGTGTATGCTCGTGGGTGAGCCACGTCTTAATATAAAATGTTTCTCATTTGTTGAAATCAAAGATTTGAAAGCCACTGATAAAAGAGCAAGGCTGAGAAGCAGGGAGCAGTCTGTTCTTTAACTGGCTGTTAACTTGGAGCAAGTAACTTCTTTTGCAAAAATTTGTATGTTTTTGCCTACAAAGCTGGACCAGATGCAGTCTGCTGCCTTTTAACGTTTAGGTTGCAAATGCTGTGATGTTCATTTACTTAGCCATGCTTTTTGTGCCTTAAGCATTGTCACAGATGGAACAAAATTGCTGCCTCCCTGATACATTCTAGGGCAGATAAGGCAGATGTCCTCTTTCTGTGTTGTGGCAGTATTTGTGCTAGAGAACAGGGAAAGAGGGCCAACCAGAAAATTGAGAGTGGTCTTTACACAGTGTCAGGCAGGGCATTGCTAGCAAAGATAAGAAAGTAATGGCGCACCTGCTGGAGGAGACAGGAATAGTGCAGGCTTAGAAACCAGCAGCAGAGATCCTGAGGCAGGAGCGAGTTGGGTGCCTTCAGCTCTGGTCAGTAGATGCCACTGTGGCCCGAACAGAGGGAGAGCGCCTGGACGGTGAGAACAGGTCATGTGAAGTTGGACCGGTAATTGTAGGGAGTACAGAGTCCCTGGAGATACAGAGCTGTGTGGTCGGGATACCAGGGGGAGTTGGGAAAAGGTAAAGGCAGAGTGTCAGGAAGACCCGATAGTGGCTTAAAGGATGGTGGACAGTGAAGCCAACTTGGTTGGCTTTTTCAGGACACGAGTGGCAAAAAACAGTTGCCATTCTGCCTTATATTTTAAAGGTCCAGATCTAAGGCACTTGGGCTGAATGCATCATTTTTTCTCATCCTGTCTGGATTGGTTATTATGAGGAAGAGGAGTTGGTTGCAGAAACTTGTCAGTTTTGAAAGGTGCTTGAAGGCTTGCATTGTGGTGCAGTGGGTTAAGCTACCACCTGCAGTCCAGCGCCCTAAATGCCTGTTCAAGTTCCAGCTGCTCTGGCTCCCTGCTGAAATGCTTGGGAACGCACCACAAGGTGACACAGGCACCCAAGCCCTTCCTTCTGTGTGAGAGACCAGAGTACAGAATTCCAGGTTCCTGAGTTAGCCAGTGGCCATCGGAGAGCGATTATCTGTTCATTCTCCTCCCCTCCCCTCTCCTCCTGTCCCTCTCCTCCTCCGATTATCTGTTCATTCTCCCTCCCCTCCCCTCCCCTCCTGTCCCTCTCCTCCTCCGATTATCTGTTCATTCTCCCTCCCCTCTCCTCCTCTTCCTCTCCTCCTCTTCCTCCCTGCTGCCTTCCCAGATTCCCTCTTTCAGCAACTCTGCCTTTTGATTAAAAAGCAATTTAAAACCTGTTTAATCTTCGTCCCTTGAGCATCCGTCAGGCTACCTTTCAGAGAGTGAGCCACAGGCTTGCTGCTTTCAGAGGCCTTCCTGTGTTCAGGCTCTCTGAATTCCTGAAACTTGCAACTCCATGCTTTGTGGGCAGGCTCACTCTTCATACCTTTGTTTAAAGGTAACCAGAGGGGCCTTGTGGAACAGCCAGCAGCTGATGGGGAGTCTGTCTCCTTTTCCCTTCTAACTTCTTACTGATGCAGGAGTCGCCCAATGAGTGTTAACTACTTGGCTCCCTCCCACCCAACAGGTGCCCATTGGTGACAAGGCAAGTGGGCCTACCTGCTCACCTCTGCGGCAGTGCCCGGAAGTGACGTACGGGATTGTGCGGGAAACTGGCACACAGTTTTCTAAAATGCCTGTGCCAGTTTTCCTTCCCAACAGCCATGGAAGAGATGTCTAGCTGTTCTTCAGCCCCTGATGGGTGCAGTCTCCTGGCTTTCCGTGTCGTTGAAGAGCTGTGCGAGCCTGCTTTACTGAGCATGAGCACGAAGCATGTGATTTGCAAGAACTCTAGTTGCCGTTTCCCTTTTCTATCAGAGAGCCTTGAGTTTCAGTGAAGTCTGCTTGCTGTTTTCTCTCCTGTGAGTCACGCTTTTTCTGTTGCTCACCCCAAGTCAGATTTCTCATTCCACAGCTATACGATTCATTTTAAGTAGATTATCTTTTATAATGATTTCTTATCTCAAATTTTAATTGGTGGCATTAATGTTAAAATGCCCATTTCCTTGTGCCATTTATTATACCTGTGTTACATGTGTGTATTTTAGAATTAGTTTATCGCTGTGGAGGGCACCCTGTCTCGCCCATCCTTCAGTGCGCGTGTGGAGGCGCACAGTAGCCTCCCACCCAGCTGCCCTTTCTTGCTCCTTGGCTGCGTCCACTGCTGTCCTCGGTGCTCTGCCTCTGTGACCGCCAGGGCTTCACCGGGTAGCTGCTACTTACTGCCTGAGGGCGCAGTTATTTCCACTCTTGCATTTAAAATCGTGATTACTCAGCTGATTTTTTACATGCCTTTTCAGCATTGTTTATGTAATTTATTAAGAGCGTTTTTATATTATTCTGATCAGTGTTTATTTACCGTGTACACATTTATATAGCTTTCAATTTAAGATCTTCCATCCACTGGTTCAGTCCCCAAGTGTCCTCAATGGTTGCCCAGGAGCCTCTTCCAGGTCTCCCATGTGGGTGCAGGGTCCCAAAGTTTTGGGCCATCCTCCACTGCTTTCCCAGGCTGCAAGCAGGAAGCTGAATGGGAAGTGGAGCAGCTAGCAGGGGGAGGATTAGCTGATTGAACCATCTTGCCAGGCCTTCAAATAGATTTTACAACTGAGTCTGCTTACCATTCAACGCATGCTTCACCTGCGGATACTGATGCTGAGTGTCCAGATTCTGAGAAATATGATTATCAAAGGAGCATTTCTTGAATTTTAAAGGGATAGGAATTTGCAAGATGGTTATACCTCAAGTGTTCTTAGAGGAGGCAGGAGAACCACAGCTCATGATAGGCAAGGAACACTAAATGCCCCTTCAAGTGGTATTTAAATGCCTAATAACTTGCTAGTGAATCTTAGCAACCTTTTCAAGTCTTCACCTAAGTACTTTTGCTAAGTAGTTGTTAAACTTGATTGTTTTTGACTGCTGAAGGCATTTGTATACAGTTGTAAATTACCGTTCTTATTTTTAGCTTTATTACATTGGGCTGTGGCTCTGCTGAGTGTTGAGCTCTGTTCCTTTTTGCAGATGTGGTGGTACAGTGGGAGCTATTCTGACATGTCCGCTGGAGGTTGTGAAAACAAGGCTGCAGTCCTCATCTGTGACACTGTACATCTCTGAAGTTCAGCTCAACACCATGGCTGGGGCCAGTGTCAACCGCGTCGTGTCACCCGGACCTCTCCATTGCCTAAAGTGAGAGCGTGCCCACGTGCTTCTTAGTGTGTGTGTTTATATTCTGCCACATTTTGTTTTTTAAAATAATATAGCTCAAAAATAATAATGTAGGGTTTTATTTATTTACTTGCAACATGGAGTTACAGAAAGAGGTCTCACCTGCAGTTTCTGCAATGGTCAGAGCTGGGATGGTTGGAAGCCAAGAGTGTCTTCTGGGTCTCCCACGTTGGTACAAGGACCCGAGGACTTTGGGCCATCTTCCACTGCTTCCCCAGGCCATTAGCAGGGCACTGCTTCTCTAGTGCCCACACGGGATGCCGGAGTTGCCAGTGAGGGCTTCACCTGCTATACCACAGCACCTGCCCCCAATTCTTTAAAGGCAGAGGGACAGGTCAGGAAAGAGATCTGCTGTTTCACTACCCACGTGGCTGTGACATCGGAAGTTGGGCCAGCCACAAAAATCCAGGGGCCCAAAAGTCCATCTTTTCTAACACATGGATAGTGGAGACCCAGGCGCTTGGGCCATTGTCCACTTGCTTGAGCCACCAGGAGGTGACTGGAGCAAGAAACACTGCGCTGCGGGGTAGGATGCCAGCTTCCCAGGCAGTGCCCAGACCCACTGGCGGGGCGGGATGCCAGCTTCCCAGGCAGTGCCCAGACCCACTGCGGGGCAGGATGCCAGCTTCCCAGACAGTGCCCGAACCCACTGCGGGGCGGGATGCCAGCTTCCCAGGCAGTGCCCGAACCCACTGCGGGGCGGGATGCCAGCCTCCCAGGCAGTGCCTGAACCCACTGCGGGGCAGGATGCCAGCTTCCCAGACAGTGCCCGAACCCACTGCGGGGCGGGATGCCAGCCTCCCAGGCAGTGCCTGAACCCACTGGCAGTGCCTGGAAATGCAAGTCTTAGCCACATTTTAGAAGTTTGAAGACAAATGTAACACAGCTTTGTTACTTTTAAATTCTATTCATTAGGACTGGAAGTTTCTAATGAAGAAGGCTAGATGGATAATACATTATTTCTAATCATATATTTTAACTATTTTCCTAACTTTATCCAATGAATATTTTTTAAAGGTATTATTAGTATTTTATTTTAGCTTCTTTATTCTTTTATGAACTGAGATGCTGTTAATTCTTTTTACATCTGTTTTTAATTTTCCAAATACTCAAAACAAGTACATCCAATGAATGACCGTCTAGTTTTTATGTAACCTGAGACTTAAAAGTAGGATTATTCTGATTTTTAGAAGCTGCTCAGTGTGTGTGGCGTCCGCTGATGGTTCTTCAAGGATTTGCCTTTACATTTTATTGCACTTCATTATATTGCAGTTGAATTTTAAATTCAAAATTAATCAAAACTATTAAGATCATGTGTTACGTGTCTAAGCTTGTGTGCACAGCTGGACACCGTGCACGTGTGCCTTATCAGCTCGCTGGACCAATCTGTTTGAACTGAGCTCAGTTGTGTTTATTTTGTGGTTGCAAATAAGCTCATCCTGTGTATTTACCTTGGCTACCAGAAGATTTCAACCACTTTTCCCCATCTCCAAACTTGGTTACCTCAGTGCCTCAGCAGGTACAATAAAACTGTTAACAATTTTGAATTTAACTGTCATAATTATGGATATTGTCTGATTCCTGATTTGAAGAAAAGTAATTGAATATCATGATTTTAACATTTGTTAAAAATGTTTGATTAACATTCTTCCTTTGTCCTGTGGTACCTTTTTAAACTAGTTTTTCAGCAGTTTTACCTTTTTCTCATGACTGATGCCTCCGGGATCTGTGTTAGTCCCTCGGGTTTCAGCCCTCTTGTAGACTTTTTGAGTGCTCGCTTGCTTAGTCCGCATTGAGCCCAGTAAAGGGGCCTGCATGGTGCTCAGTGAAGGGAAGGTTGCTTTGTGCCTTGGAGTTAGCTCGGCAGCGATGAGCGGCATGGTCAGGCCCTCAGCTTAGACCCTTGATTTAGCATCAAGCTCAACTGCCTTTAAGAGAGCTTTTTTTAACTTTTTTTTTTTTTCAGATGATGAATTTGCATTATAGTCAATGTCTTAATGCTACATTAAACAAATAAGAAGTAAAAAGAGTGTAGTTAAGCAAGAATATAAGGAAGAGCTATAAACAGTAATAAAAATATACCACTTATCAAGAGATCATTCTTAAACATGTGAATGTTTGAGAATTGTTTTTGCATAGCAGATCTGTTAACTATTTTAATTTGTGTTCTTGTCAGCTCTGGAACTTCATGTGTTATTCTTAGAAAGCCTGTGTGATGCAGGCACACTTCTACTTTCTCTGCTGAGCGTATGTGTGTCTGGGGATGTTCAGTGTTTGCTGCTGAATGTCCGTTACTTGGCTCAGCATGATTCTTCTCAGAGTGAAGAAGGCCTCGTTGGCATATGCTGTTGATCCATCCATGCAGAGTACAGTGGATGCCGCCTGAGGGCTGCTCTGCCATGCCATAAGCTGCTCAGGCGCAAATGGAAGACTTGGAAACTTAAAAGGAGCCTCCTCTTTTTTTAAAAAAAGATTTATTGATTTTTATTGGAAAGACAGATATACAGAGAGGAGAGACAGAGGTGCAGAGTCCCAAGGTTTTAGCTCATCCTCAACTGCTTTCCCAGGTCGCAGGCAGGGAGCTGGATGGGAAGCGGGGCTGCCAGGATTAGAACCGGCACCCGTATGGGATCCTGGGGCATTCAAGACAAAGACCCTAACTGCGATGCTATCGTACCCGCTCCCATCTCTTTTTTCTTTTTAGATTTAGATTTATTTATTTACTTGAAAGGACACACTGAGGGGAGTGGCAGGGAGAGAGCTCTTCCTTCAACTGTTGAGGGCGGGCTGGCCAGAAGTCAGGAGCCTGGCACTCCAGCTGGGTTTGCCACCTGAGTCTCGCGCTGCCCTCCCAGGCCTGTGAGCAGACTGCGGCCTCAAGCCCGGGCCTGCGTGCCTGTGTGGGATCCTGGTGTCACGTGGAAGGCCCCCCACGCTGCAGCGCAGCCTCTCCCTTTGTCATTAGAAATTGGACTTGCTGGCAAAGAACATAAAGTTGAGAAAATTTGAAGTAAGAATAGCAGTCATAGGAAAATAGATGTAGAACTCTCTAGGATGTATTTTTTTACTCTTAGCAAAGAACCTGAACTGAATATTTTTAGTAACTCTAGTAAATCAGTTATTAATCTTTAATCATTTATCACGTCATACCAAAAGCAGATTTTCCTAAGTAAGGTAAAGTGACCACAGAAGCATATTGTGTTATAGTACAAGCATGGGATTTCGTTCTGATTTTGCCATTTAAGTGAATCTTTAAAGTACCAGCATTTGAAGGTTATTTTGTTCTAATATTTTTTTCTCTTTCAGGGTAATCTTAGAAAAAGAAGGGCCTCGCTCTCTGTTTAGAGGATTAGGCCCCAATTTAGTAGGGGTAGCCCCTTCCAGGTAAACACATTTTTTTTATAAAGTTATTGTTTCACAGCACCTAGGTTTAATCATTATACATACAGATCTGTCTGTCATTTCCAAAAACCAACTCTTCTTTTTGATCTTTCGTGCCTCGCGTTAAGTTTAGGTTTGTTGTTTTCTTCCTTTTCTGAGTCCTGGAGTTGCATCATTAGATGGTTTATTGGAAGTCAGTTTTTCTTTGTTGTATCTTCTCGCTGCTAAAGCTTCTCTTGTGCTTTACGTGTATGCCACAATCTGGCACGTTTCCGTTTCCATTTACTTGAGGACATTTTTAAATTTCCTGCTCCATGTCTTCCGTGTTGTGTTGGTTGTTGAGGATAAATTGCTTAACTTCCATGTACTTGTATGGTTTGCAGAGTGTCTCCTGCTGTTATTTTCTAGTTTTATTGTATTGTGGTCAGCAAAGTCACCTTTATCCTTAAGCACTCTGAAGTATACTGAGGCTTCTTTTATTATTTGGCCTGATCTCTGCTGGAGATTGTTCCACGTGCTGTTGAGAGTACGCATTCTGCAGCTGTTGGACGCCTGTTAGATCCAGCAGATCAAAGGAAAAGCTGAACTTTCTTTGTTGGTCATCTGTGTAAATGTCTCAGTTTCTGACACCAGTGTTAATGTCCCCTGCTGTGATTATATGTTAATTCTATATTAATGTCCTTAGGTCTGTAATACTTGCTGTGTATTTGGGTATACTAGTACTGGGTTCCTCTACATCTAGAAATGTTGCTCTGTCTGGCTTGAACGCTTCTGTAATGACCTTCGTGTTCTCTTCGCTGTTTGCAGTTTAGAATCTCTCTTTCTGACAGCCAGGTGGGGTTCATCTCTTGCCTCATCTTTTCACTTTCTCCTGCTTACTCCGTCTTTTAATTGAGGGAATTAGTTCATTGACATTTAAGGTAGTTATTTATAGGTAAGATCTGTATGCCCGTTTTCATTGTAGCTGCTTTCTTATCTTCACTTGTGGGTGTTCGATTTGTTTTCTCTAATGCTGTGCCTTGATACTTTGCTTATGCTCATAAGTCTTTGCCAGATTCTTGCTTTGTGCTTCATTTGGCATAACAGACTTTGCTGAAGTGATAACCGTTTAATGCTGATTATAATGATAGGGAGAGAGGAAATAGAGGCAGGAAGTCCTAACAAAGAACTCTACCTTTGTGCCCCCTGCCTCTGCACCTTCTGCATTCCTGGTGTTATTTGCTCTCTCCTATCTGTATGTTAATGTAACAAGTGTAAGTATATATAAATGGTTTGTACCCCATGTTAGCAATAAATGCTAAATCATCTCGAATTTGACTCCAGTCAGCTTGCCTTCTGCTGTTCTTACTTGCTAAGATCTGTTTTAGGTTGAAGAATTCCTTTAGTATTTCTTGTCATGTGGTCCAGTTTTACCCCCTCAGAGCTATGAAAGTCCCAACCCATGCCTTTTGGCCAGACAGGTTCCTGTGGTGAAGTCCAGTCAGACAAACCAAGCCCCTGCAGGTGTCGTTGTGTTTTCTCTTGCAGTTTTGAGGAGCCACTTTATTTTTAACCTGTTGACTATCAGGGCTGGACTTGCTTTGGATGAGTGTTGCTGCTGTCCTTTGATGTAGCTGTAGCTGGACACACGTCTTTCTGAAGGTTTGGGAAGTTATCTGTCCTTTTCTGCTCCTTTGACATTCTCAAGCCTCCTTGAATCCCAGAGCTGCTAGGCTGGCTGCCCTTTCCATGATGTCTCGTTGTCCCCCAGCGTGTGTTTTCAAGCGGCCTGTCTTCAAGCTCCCTGATTCTTCTCTCTAATCTCTTGGTCTGTTGATGGCCTTCTGTAGGGTTTCTAATTTCACTTCACACATTATCAGTGGAAGTATTTCTGCTTGATTTTACTTAGTTATTTCCACCTCTCTGTCAAATCTCTATTAAAATATTGAGTCATTTCTCTGTGCTTGAATGTTACTGAGTTTGTTCAAAACACCCATTTTGAAATCTTCACCCGAGCATTTGAAGATTTCAGTTCCTAGGTGAAGTCGTGGTTCTCTGGAATTTGTTGGGTGCTTGCTGGCATGGGTGCTCTGCCCCTGGGAGGCCCAGTGATCTCCCTTGGCACGTCCCTGTCCTCTGAACTTCTGACCAGTCTGTGTCTACACCTATGGCCACTTCTAATCCAGCGTTCAGTGGCACCCGAAATCATAGTTTACCCCAAGTCTAGTGTTGATAGGATTGTACTAATTCAGTTCTGCAATATTCTAAACTAAAATTTGCTGATGTGGTGTTGTTCAGTATAAGCTGAGGAGTTGCCTCGAAGAGGGTATCTGTGTGTAGGCCACTTCAAGCCTGTGGAGGGTTGGGCTCCATTTCCTGTGCCCAAGGAACAGCGCACCTGGGAGGAGGACCAAAACTCACCTTGCGTGGAGGCAGGTGCCTATCTCTCAGCCACCGGTGTCGCTGACTGCAGTGTAAGACCACAGAGCTGCTCGGGCCCTGTCCAGAGGCTGTGTGCTGGCACTGGCCTGGGACAGGGACGAATAGGATGTGTGTTTGGTCAGCCTGGAACCGACTTCCAACATGGTCCTGTGATTCTTTGATGTCTGCCCGAGGTTGAAGGAGGGGCTGATTCAAGAGGCATTTCCTGTGCTACCCAGGACACCTGATGTCTTTTGTTGGACATGACCCACTCTGTGTAGAATAGATTAGAATATATTGTGGTATTTCAAAGTGTTTACCATATGCTTTAATCAGTTGGTGTATCTTGTTGCCTAGTTCCTGGCAAAAAACTGTATATTTGGTAAAAGCTGATACCATTTGGCTTGGTTAAGCATGCTTGCTGTGGCATTCGCATCACACAGACCTTACGTTCTTAGCTCATTCATGCCATTCCAGTCATCAAAATGTTACACAAGCACTCTTTGCTTCAGTTGGTCTGTTTCCACGTGGCCCCAGAGCAGTGGGAGTAGGGGTCTGTTTGAACATGGGCATCAGGAGCCTTTTTAAAATCAGTTGATAGAAGAAGCACTCCAGTGTATTCACTGAAAGTTGTAAGTTAATCTGGCATTTCAGGGAAATGGAGGTAAGACATTGCTTTCACATTTCTCTATTCTCAAACTATGACAAGTTTGCAGTTATAAATGAAGCAACATACTTACTAACACGTTTGAATTTTTATTTTAGAGCAATATACTTTGCTGCTTATTCAAACTGCAAGGAAAAGCTGAATGGTGTGTTTGATCCTGATTCTACCCAGGTACACATGATTTCAGCCGCAATGGCAGGTAAGAAAGTACAATATTAAAAAACAAAACCTTTTTGAGATTGTTGAATTATGATAAGTTCCTATTGACTAGTTTAGGTAATTAGTGTAGTTTTTACTGATTAACATTTGCAAAGATGATTTTTGCGTTTATTAGCATAAGATGGATCTGATCAGGTATGTGTAAAGTCTGCTAAGCAGCATTTTTGTAATTAGTTTAAGTGATAAAATCCAGGTAGTCCAGTGAATATTTAGTGAGCACTTTCAAGAATCCAAACTCAGTTCCAGTTTATGTCACAAAACCGTAATTTACTTTTTTCTCCTCGGTTTCTGTTAGTGCCTTTTCCTTTTCGCTGCATGTTTTGGCTTCTGTCTGAAATGTGCCGGCAGTTCTTGGTAAAGTATTCATCTTGTCCTGTGCTGAAATGCTGAATTTTTGTGACTGGTATGTTACTAATAACTCAGTTTCAATAATGTGTAAAAATCTGTCATTCCACACAAATCAGACCACATAGCACTTAAAACTAGCCCCCGTCTGCACTTCCTTGAGCGTACACTGCAGGGGATCGGCTTGGCCAGTTCACTCCTGCATTCATTCTGCCATGCATGTTAAACAAAGCCATATACTTTGCAGCAAAAATTATCTGCAGTTTTCTGATCAGCTATGTGCTTAATCTGCAAAAAAGAAAAAAATAAAACTTTGTGTGTTTTTATATATAAATTAGATCAATTTGAAGCACATTTAAAACTTGGAACTAAGTGTTAAGTTTGAAATACGAATTTCTGAAAAAGTTGTGAGGTACTCTGTACCGTATGAGAACGCTAGCATATACCCTGAAATTACTTCCAGGGCTTTTTCTGTTTAGGAATTGTTGTTTGATTCAAGTTTGAAAGCTGAAAGGATAACCTTAAACATCAGGAAAGTGAATACTCTGATTTCCCCTAAAGAAAATTTGGGCCAAGTCCTGTAAATTTATGTGCAAGTTCTGTTACCTTTGTTCATGGTATAAGTTAGTTGGTTTACATTGATTGGGGTTTTGAGAATTACTTTTTTCATTTCGTGCCATAGACATTACCTAGTGACAGCTGGATTTTTTAGTGATACCGTTTTCACCTATACTCCCTGTGGGTATAAAGTGAAAGTGAATGGTCTAGGTCAAGCTTTTTAGCAAATGTATTAGATTGTTTAAGAATGTGTTCTGAATTATCATAAATACATTTATGATTTTTTATTTTTTAAAGACTTGAGATCAAGGAAGTGATAAGCAGTCATTTTAAGTAGAATATTGAAATTTAGACATTCAGAACGTCGATTCCCTAAGTTAGAATATCTCATCAAAATTTTATACCTGCATTTGTTTCACATTGCAAAAAGTTTCAATAGGATTGTCATTTTGCACTTTTTCTTTCCTCGAATGTGTACAAATATTAGCTGGTAGTCTTTTTTTTTTTTTAGTCCAACTTAGATTCCTTGACTTTTGATAAACTGGTAATCTTTATATGTTCGGAGTTCTTGCACTGTGTACTTACTGTGTAATTTGAAAAATACTTCTGTTGCACTTTTATTCTGAGAAATGTGCTTTCAGACTTCCTTGCGCTGTTGATGAGATTAACACCTTTGCTGTTCTTGGTTTTGCTGTAACCGAGTGGGGCAGTGCAGGCTCCCTGAGGTAGCATCTGCCGCTTCATTTCCAGCGGCGTGACCAGGTCACCCTGGGTTTTCTGTAATGTGGGAGTGCCATGTCCTCCTTAGAGATAATCATGTGAAAAATAACCCAACAACACCCAAAAAAATGCTAACCTTGTCACCTCACTGTGAGATCCGCATTAAGATAAACTATTGAAAATACCACCTGTGAGATTGTGCCACGCCAAAAGGCACAGAAAGCAAGCATTTCAGATTACTGTAATTTTCACTTCCAGTAATCTCTTAATTCAGTTTCAATTCACACTTTGTGTGCAAACTCAAATATGTCTGTTGAAAGTAGACCTTTGATTTGTTGTAGCGAAGGAGAACTTTCTTTGTAGCTCTACGAAGTGGTTACTGTGAGAATCTGTAAGCCTCTAAAATTGATCTATGGATTCGCTCTCCAGTGAAGAGCAGTTAGTCCAATAAAGTGATGTTGCTTTCATGTTTTACCCGTTTTTCCCCCGACATATGGCTATAAAGTTGTAGAACTGAATTTATCCTGCTGGTGGGAATTTCTGCATTTTGCTTGTGAACTCAAATAGCCCCTTATACACCTGCACGCGTGCATCACTGCTCAATTCTTAAAATAGCAGTAATGGAATTGCTAATGTTTTCTACATACCTACTGGAATTTATTTGTTTATGGCATGCTCTGTTATTTTTCAAGATAGATTTTTGTATCTGAGGTAAAGTTCGTTCATTGAATACAAGTTTTGTCTAGCAGATATGAAACATTTTTAAATTATCTCGTCTGTCCATTGCAGCTCAGCCAAATGGGGGCCACACAGATGTTTGTGTGTTTATATGTAAACATTCTTCCTATTTTTGTTTTGTAGAATACAAGAAATTAAATACAAAATAATCCAAAATATTCCATAAGTATGGATGTGCAATGTTACTGGCCATAGTGCAAAAGGTGGAAGGTACTATTGTAACAACATATGCTTTATTTAAAAAAAAAAAGAAATTATAATTAGCTCCAAAATTAAGTTATCTGAGTATTCTGTTGGACTTCTTTTTTAAAGATTTACTAGAAGAGTGTTTGTTAAAAGATTATGTTTTTAACTCTTTGTGTTAGGTAATGATAGGAAGATAAGATGATAACCCCCCTCTTGATATTTTCTTAGATTTCCTTTTGACAAGGTTAGCATTTTTTCTTTAAAGGAAGGTTGATCTTCTTTAGGTAAGTATTTGGATTCTGAAACTGCTCTAGATGGCAGGATTTTCAGCACTCGTAATTTTTTTTTAATATGGCCCGTTCTAATAATCCATTCTTTTTTTAACCTAAAACTTTTTTAAAAGTTAGATCTCACCGTAACTATTTCTCAGCTCCTTCCAGTGGGATTCAGTTTGTACACATGTTTCTGATGAGGTCACTGCTTGTTGTTATGATACAGAACAGCCTGTGTCTATTTTAGGCATTTACTGTACATTTCTCCCGAGAAAAGAGTGAGATCGTGCCATCTCATGCTCCCCATCCGCAGGTCACTTCCTGTAGAGAGTTGGACTAACTTGACCTCGTGAGTACTGATCTGAGCGTCTCTCACAGCCTTAGTGTAAGACACACCCTGGGTTTGTAGGATAGCTGCGGGAGATGGACTTTTATTTCCTGAATTTGTGTGTTATTATTGAGTGCATTATTGTGTGCATTATTGAGTGTTTCATGAAATTTTTATCTGATCCATTTAAAATCCTTTTAGTAGGGGAAAGAAAGGGGGACTTTGCAGTCATCACGTAGTAAAAGCGTATGGCTTGGCCATAGAGCCTTGGCCTTCAAAGAGTGTGATAGCCATGTACACACAGCTGTAAATGCTATCATCCCATCTGACTCCTTGTAGAGAAGGTAGGAGCTCTCTGCTTAGCTTAACACAGTCCTCCCACACTGCTTAGATAAGCTGGAGCTCTCTGCTTAGCTTAACACAGTCCTATCACACTGCTTTCCATTCTTTTTTGCGTTGGTTCTTGGCTTTCAACTCTTGCCAGAAGAGCAAATCTTAATACCATTATTTAAGCAAATAAAGGATTAAAAAATATGAGATCTTATCTGTTTTAGTTATTAATAATAACACTTTAAAATACTTAAATGATATTTATCTGTGAGGAAGCTAGATAGATTTTGTTCTTCCAGATGTTAATTGAAATAAAAAATACTGAAAATGAAACACTGCAAGTGTCACTCACTTAATAAAATAAACATTTTCAGCAAGTTTGCTGTAAACAGATTTTTCTGTTAATTTGGTTTTTTAATTGGCTTTTCAATATCAAATGAAATTGGATCAGTTGGACTCTCAGATAAAGACTGAAAATTGCATTAAGCTGTTTAGAACTTTCTAACAAAGCACTAATGTTGTTGCCACTGGGTAATAATCGCGTTAAGAGACTGTGGAGCAGTCTTAATCCTTAACTCCAGATGGATCCCTCATGTACTCTTCAATCTATTTTATATGTCGTCAGGTGCGCAGAATATTGGTAGAAGTTAGTAATGTAATATCAGAATGTCACCAACTTAAAATGCAAAGTAAAACATAATAACCAATTTATAAATTTGAGAAGCACCATTCTCAATACCTTTATGTGTCTTTGTCTTAGAAGTGGAAGGAAGTTATTTAGATTTGGCTAACTTCAAATTGTATTTGCCATATATATAAAATCTAAGTTAATGGTAACATTTTTTCTTTGTTCATTTCAATTCTTTATTTACTAAAGTTTAATTTAGCCTGAAGTATCTGCTTAAGTTTGTTCAAGAGAAAGTAATGCCATAGAAGTTAGGGGTCAGAGTTTAATAGCTTAGGGCCTATCAGTCCTCTGATACAGGTTCATTTGTACCTGGCAATGAGTTTTAGTTTAGTGAGAAATACCTGTGTTTACTTCCTGTATTGTTTATTAATATGTTCAGGGAATACTTTCAGATTATAAAATATTTGTTCTAACTTTAAGGCTTGTGTATATTGATGTCGATTTTTCCCAGTTTCAAATTAAGGAATTTTATGACCTGGGAGAGTATTATGAGTAGAAGCTTTGATACTGCCATATTTTTATAAGTAGGCCTTTTATTTAAAAGTAAGATAACTGTGTTGCATGTCTTTTGAAAGAAAGTGAGAATTTGGGGGAGCAGCATATTTTTTTCTGAAATTCAGTAAAAAGCTGATTTTTTTTTTAATTTAAAATTTCTACAAATTAATAAAGATCATTGTGACTAATGTAGACTATTTTGTTTGTTTTCTACTGAGCAATATTTCACTAATAAGCCTTTCATCTTAATTCCAGACATTTTATTATTAACATAAATCTCTAAGCTTAAAAAATATGAATACAAAATTGGGGCTTGATCAGAATAATGTCTGATTGCTTTAAAATATAAATCTAAATATCTTTAATTTAAAAAGATTTAATAATTCACTTAGGAACTCAGAACTTTGTCCTCAGTTGAGGCCACATGCACTGTGCTGGCAGCTGCACGTTTTCCTCCCTCCCACAAAAACATTTATGAAGAGAACCTTTCAGTAAGAAAGATGTCCCTGGCGGTCTGTCTAACCTTTTACGTTTATATCATTTTAATGCTGGCTGATGCTTCCAGAATTTCTCATTTTAATTTTATAGTTGTATATGTAATAATAAAAGCACATAAGAGAAAAAGAAGCCATTGTTACTAACAGTCCATTCCATTTATCCTGCTTCCTGAATACACTTAATAGGAACATTATTTTGTGTAATATCTGGCCATTATTATGGTGTTAAACAGGGTCAGTGGAGTAAAATTTGAGTTTAGCTAATTATCTGACATCATGGAGAGGGAAGAAACCTTGAAAGGCCAATGTCAGCTCTGTAGAGAATGTAGTTTTAAAAGTATTTCACATAGGTAGATCTACTTGCAGTAGTTTGAAAGGCTAGTTTTACAGTTGTCTCTGCGCTGTGTGTTCTTAAGTGCACACCAGCATTTTGCTGCTCGGAGTACTGTGCTCATGTGGAGTGTGCTGGTTGTGATCTGCCTTTCTCGACCTGATATGCTTGACCTACTGGCACTTCACTTTTAAAAATATGAAACCAGTTAAGATGCTTAGACATCTCCTCGTGTAAGTTTTCATTGAATTTGAAGGCCTGTTGGATAGATGTAGCCTGGTGGGAGTCGTTCCTCTGAAGCTTGTACAGCTAATCTTAAATCTATCCACAATCCTGTTTTGTGAAGCAGTCTTCTAAATCCTATCTCAATATTGTATTTTGTGTGCCATCTTCCTATAAATAGGAAGATGGCATATAAAACTTAATGCATTAGCCAAGCCACATATTACTACCCCGTAATTTGTACTTTATTACCTGGAATGAACCATGGAGCTGACCAGCCTCCTGTACTAGTAGTTAAGAGATAATGCTTGTGTTATTTAGGTAAATTAGAGTTGATTCCTTTTGTGAATTTCTTTATTCAGTGTCTATAAAAATGAAAGTTTCAGATTTTTGAAATTTTTTTCATGTGTTCAAGTAGATGAGGAAATAGATCTGTCCTATTAGAACCCTAACAGAAATCTTACTTGTAATAATCGTATTTTAATAGTATTAGTAAGCATATTTATAGAAAATATCTATGGGGACAAACAGTAGTCTTTTTGGTTATTTAATCAACTAAAGATAAGTTATAGTAAATGCTTCGATTTCAGTAGAATTCATTTTGAATGTAGTGGTTCCGTGATCCTAATCGCACCACCAGCTAGCCGCCCTAGACTGCATGCTTCCTGTGCTGGAGTACAGAGGACCGCTGTGCGTGGATTCCACGTAGGTGGCAGGCGGAAGAGCTGTCGAGCTCTTAGACAGGAGCACGTGCTGCTCTTCAAAGAAGCTCCTAGTGAAGGCAGAACTTGCAGATTGAAAGTCAAGGGAGAAGTTCATGGTTGTGTGGATTTATACATTAGCAGTGTGAAGCACCCATCAATTAGCACTTTAAATATTTCTATATATTCTTTAGAATAATTTTTAAATGTTTCTGTTCCTTATTTTTCCTGGAATTCATTTTAAACGTGTTTGTCTAGGTTTTACTGCAATCACAGCAACCAACCCCATTTGGCTTATAAAGACTCGGTTACAGCTTGATGCAAGGTATGGTAATTCTTTAAAATTGCTTTGACATATTTTCTTGATAAATTTATTTCTTGAGGTTTTGGTGCCAAGTATCCGTCTTTTCCCCTTATTTTTTACTACCTGATTTTGTTGCACTCATATGTGTAAATTGCATTTGCGACTGCTTAGCAACGGCAAGATTCATTCATTGAGCCGCTCTGCAGTAAACAGATAGGCACTGCTATGTTGTATTAACCAGAACTTCACATGGGCTGATCAAGATGCTTTTTAAAGCCCATCTGAAGCAGGAGAGGTAATCATTGTAAAACTCCTGAAGCCTAGGCATTTGATGGGAACTGGGAAAACCAGAGCAGTGCGGGTCAGGGTTTCCGGTGTCGGCTGCTTCTAGCCTTTCAGGTGGTGAGGGTCTTACTGGTGTATTACGTTAATATCATTGGATGTTTGGAATGCTCCTTTTAGTGAAATCGTCAGTGTAACAAAATCCAGTTGAACAGCATTACCGAAAAGTAACGACTGATAGACTGAGCCTGAAGTTGGAGGTGCCTGTCCACTTGATAGCCTTGCAGGCTGTCAGAGTCATGTGTCAGTGCAGAACTTCGTTTTCCACTTCAGGCTGTCACACAGCCTAGTTCAGTGTTAGGCTCACAGGGGTGGGTAAGCAGTATTGGTTGTATGTCACAAATTTTGCAGGAAGTGAAATATCTCCATGTGTTACCCATCTGATACGACAGATTTAAGACGAGATAGAAACTGAGTGATGCCTTAGAGCTCAGACTGTAAGCGGGCAGGCATTGCACTGCTCGGAGTAGGAGATCAGCTCAAGTCCTGGCTGCCTGGTGGTGCATGATGGGCTGGAATAGTATGTTTTTGACTGCATTGCATTTACTTTTTCTGAAAAGCTGTAATAATTTGTTTATGTCAATAGGACATCTCCCTTTTCCTTTTCAGGAGCCGTGGGGAAAAGAGAATGGGTGCTTTTGAATGTATTCGCAAAGTGTATCAGACAGATGGACTTAAAGGGTTTTACAGGGGCATGTCTGCCTCCTATGCTGGCATATCAGAGACTGTTATCCATTTTGTTATTTATGAGAGTATAAAGCAAAAACTGCTGGAATGTAAGACTGCTTCTGTGATGGAAAGCGAGGAGGAGTCTGTGAAGGAGCCATCAGATTTTGTGGGAATGATGCTGGCCGCCGCCACCTCCAAGACGTGTGCCACAACTCTTGCTTATCCACATGGTAAGAAGAGTAGCGCTCTTACCCGTTATGTCGAGTAACATAACAAATCTGGCCCGTGCCAGCCAATAACTTGCTCGCTAGAGCATTTACGATTTTACTGAACTATTGGGTAGCAAAATAGTTCCTTGGGAATTAGTGATGGGATGAAATCTGCAAGCAGTCAGGAGCTGGTTAAAGGGGCAGCATGTGCTGTCGCAGCATGGTGGTGCTCCCTGCATGTGCTTTGGGGTCAGACCTTGCAAGAAGTTTCTGTTTTCAAACAATATGTATGTATTTATAAATAGGGACAATAGTAGATCTTTAAATGCATTGTTGCTACTTTGTATAAAATGCTCTGCAGAGCTTACAGTGTGTCTGAGTGTAGGTCTACTACAATAAGATCAAAAATGTCCTTATTTCCAAATGGAAAATGAGAATGCATTTTTAAGCATTTAGTTCTCCCTGTATATCCTGTCAGGATAAATAAGACTAAAGAAAGAGAGTATTTGCTCTAAAATGTAATTTCTGAGGGCAACTCTTCTGCAAATTGGACTGTAAACTAACCCATCTGTTTCTTGAAGCAAGTTCCAGGCGTTTCTAATAGATGTCAGAGTAACCCATCTCCACAACCTTGCTGGGGTAGGAGCATACCTGCTGAAGTAAGGGGTAGCTCTGGGGGTTACACATCTTGTCTTGGAGCCAGGGGCAGTGCAGCACATGAAGACACCATCTGTGAAGTTGGAGTCCCACATGAGCACCGGGTCAGGTCCTGGCAGCTCCCTGCTAGTGTTCCTGGGAAGGGAGCAGAAGGTAGCCCAAGTACTGTGGCTCCTGACACCCTTTGAGGAATACCTGGATGAAATTCTGTCTCCTGGCTTCAGCCTGGCCTGGATTCAACCACTGGGTACATCTGGTGTATGAACCAGCAGAGGAAAGATCTCTCCCTTTCTCTCTGTCACTCTGCCTTCCAAATAAGTCAATCTTTTAAGATATATGTGAGCCCTAACCCTTCAAGTGATGTCATTAGGGTAAGAGGTCTAAGTTGATAAATGAGGTGTATCGGAGTGGCTCAAACATGACAGGGATGTTTCAAATGCATTTTCTATCTCCAGGAGCTATCGCAGGCCCTTCTACAAGCAGCTTGTTTTTCCATTTCTGAGAACTGTCTTAGGTCCTCCAACAAGTAGCTTGTTGAAATATTTGGAAAATAGAGTCATTACATAAGAGTACATTACAAATAGAGTCAGTGGAAATCAAATTCTATCCAAGCTTAGAACTAAAGCCTCCTAGTAGCTTCCATTTCTCGCCTTTCAAATGAAGAAAAATTGGAATCATCCTTAAGGTGCACTGGGAATCTTAGTCCAGTTCCAGGCTTGTCCTTGCATGACAGCTAATGTTTTAAATGCTTCCGCATGTTGGGCCCTGCACAGTAACCTGGTGGCTAAAGTCCTCGCCTTATATGCACCAGGATCCCATATGTACTTGGGCCCACTTCCCCTTCCAGCTCCCTGCTGGTGGCCTGGGAAAGCAGTCGAGGACAGTCTGAAACCTTGAGACCTTGCATCCCCATGAGAGACTCACAAGAAACAGCAGCTCCTGGCTCCTGGCTTCCGATCAGCTCAGCCCTGGCTGTTGTGGCCACTTAGAGAGTGAAACAGCAGATGGAAAATCTTTCTGTCTCTTCTCTCTATAAATCTGCTTTTCCAATAAAAAAAAAAAAAACTTTTAAATAAATAAATACTTTCCCTTTCTTGCCCATTTGTCATTTCAGTGTGGTTTCTGTAGGTTATTGCTTCATTGTATTTTTATACCTACAGACATATAAAATGTCATAAATAGTGTGTCTTTTTTATTATATTGTGTCACTTTCTATGTTTATAGCTTCTTGTTTCAATCAGCTACACATTTAAAGATTTTATTTATTTATTGGAAAGTCAGATATACAGAGAGGAGAGACAGAGAAGAAGATCTTCCGTCCAATGATTCACTCCCCAAGTGAGCGCAATGGCCGATGCTATGCCGGTCCGAAGCCAGGATCTAGGAACTTTTTCCAGGTGTCCCACGCGGGTGCAGGGTCCCAAAGCTTTGGACCGTCCTCAACTACTTTCCCAGGCCAGAAGCAGGGAGTTGGATGGGAAGTGGAGCTGCTGGGATTAGAACCGGCGCCCATATGGGATCCCGGTGCGTTCAAGGTGAGGACTTGAGCTGCTAGGCCACGCCGCCGGACCCACAGTCAGCTACACATTTAAAATCGGTGTTTGTCCTAAACATATGCTTTAACTGATAAGTGAGATGTGCTTCTTCTAATTAGGATGATGTAAAGATGTCAGTAATGTTTAAACAAAGCTAATTTGTTTTTAATTTGATTTCCCAAACAGAAGTTGTAAGAACAAGACTGCGTGAAGAGGGAACAAAATACAGGTCATTCTTTCAAACACTGTCCCTGGTTGTTCAGGAAGAAGGTTACGGGTCTCTTTACCGTGGCCTGACCACTCATCTGGTGAGACAGATCCCAAACACAGCCATTATGATGGCCACCTATGAACTGGTGGTCTACCTGCTGAATGGATAGCAGTGTGGGGCTGCTTTGAAGAGAGAAGACCAAAAGATTGCAGGACCATGGAGTACCGAAGCCAGCGCGGTGCACAGAACAGCAGTTTGGGAACATGTAACTATGCCTAAGTGGGAGTTTGGCTGTCTGAGTGGAAGGAACCACCCTCGTTATTGGTCTTTCGGTAATGTGGAAAAGGAATACCTTGGCTGCCTCCAAGGAAATGCCTTTCAAAGCACCCCTTTCTCAAAATTGCCATTTTCTCTCCCGTGTCCACCAGACTCAGTTATGTTTCATTGGCTTACAGCAGTCAGAATGCAGTGTTGTTTATTCTGAGAGCACTTCTCCAACCCTTTAAACAAGGCCATCCACAATGATGTGCTGCACTGCAGCTATCCAAAGATAATATTGGCAGACATAAATTTCTAACCTCTGGCTATTAATTTCTGTAATCTTACTAAGACAACAGCATTAGGGAAAACCTTGGTATTATTGCCACATTTTCCCAAGAGAACCTGGCTAAATATTTTAAATTCAACTGTTTTGGCATTAAGAGTCACTGTTTTTGACAACGAATGAAATAGCATCTAAAATATTTTGTTTAAACTGCCAGAGTAGCAGCCATACAATGGTTTTGAATATAGAATCAGTGGGTCAGCTGTGGACGCCCGACCCTGTCGGTGACTTGGGCATGCTCTCGTGGTCTCCCTAGCCTTGGAGTAACTGAGCGAACAAAGCAGTCTTTTAAGTGTTCTCTGGCTCCTGTTTTCACTTTAAAAATTTGAGACTTTGAGTTGTTTCTAAGTCTGCGTAGATTTCATTTAACTATTTTGTAGAGAAACTGATAATTTTGTGTTTTTCCCTTATAAGTTTTTACTTTTAAGATAACATTAATATGTGGAACAGTAAAAATATTAAAGACAATGGACCCTCTGCCATCCAAACCATCAGGTCATTATCTTAATTGAGTTTGGTAAGAAATCTGTGCTTGTTTTCTGAAAGGTAAATGGTCGCGTTCAGGTTAAATGTACTACCAGGACAGAGCTGTTAAATTTTGCTGTTGAGGACACTGTACCTTCCAGTACTTTAAAGGAATCATCTGTGACACTCATGAGGCTGTGGTGATTCTCTAGGAGACTTTGCCTTCAGAGGTTGCCCCACTGCTGTATGAAGCGTCTACACTTAAACTCAGTGCGGTGTTCACTCCGTGTACTTTCACTGCGTTTTGTGCAATGGCTTCATCTTCAGAACGACTTCCTGTGAATGTACTTTGTGGCCTTTTGGGGTGTGAGAATAAGAATTTCACGTTAAAATTCTTATTTTTTAAAGTATTGGCCATGTATTGGGCAGAAATAGAGTTGATAACTTTTGGGTTTGTATGCATTGTTTTGGAGATCTTTAATGTTTTCAGTATTCTATACCTTGTAGTGCCACAGCATTATTCACATTGGGTTCGGGGCAGTGTGTCGTGGCAGGCTCATGTTGCTATCACTAGTGCCACGTAGTGCCCTCTTAAATTCTTTGACCTTAACTTCTTGTAGTCAACAATAACTGGATGTTTTTGAGGTGCTCGATTGGAGTTAAAAATATTCCAATCCATTTGGAGACCAAAGTCAAATTCAGTTTCCCTACTTTTTGTGGCACATTTCAGCTTTGTGAGGAACATACCAAAAGAAGAAGAAGACATGCAGGAGATTCGAGGTCTCAATCTGTGGTGTGTACCTTTTTGGGTGCCTTTGATACTGCCTGCTAACCCAGTGCCATTTGTGTTTGAGCATCCATCCACTTCAGTTCCGTGATGTTGTGTGCAGGGCTGATCTCAGTACCAACAAGTGGTGAGGAAAACGCATAAACCAGCAGTGGGGAAACACTGAGCTGTGACACACGCATAGCAGGAGTCCTTCAGGAGGGACGCTTGTTCCACTTTTGTTTGTGTCTAGCAAGTACAGTTGCCCTTGACCTTCAGTGCACTGTATTCATTTTGTTAAAATGTTAAATATGTGTGTACTAGCAGGAGCAGTTTCGGACCCTTTTTTTTTCCAACAAATAGAAAGGAGTGTTGAAGTTGGTGCTTTTGTCCGCTAAGCACCATCTGGTGCAGTAGATCTCATGTATAATGGGAATGATTCACCAAAGTTCTTTAAAGTTTGTCTCTGAACATTTCTTCAAAGGATTTTAATTGATTTGAATGTTTAACAAGAAGTTGTATGCTCGAAGTGTTGGACTTTTTCGGTAGGACTGCTTCTGGTGTAAGGTGGTCAGTCCTCTTCGGATTGGCCTGTATTGTAGATCCTTGCTGAGCAGTGAGCTGCACATATTCAGGGCAAACAAAGACACTGAAAGCATGCTTCCATGGAGCAGCGCTAAGGGAAGCTTGGGTCACCTCTGCTGCCCGTGACTCAGTCTGTCTCCTACATTTCGAACTCCAAATCTGGGAACTGTCCTGTAATTGTGGAATACCATAAAGTGCTTTCAATTGTAAGGGAAGAAAACTGAACCACCAAAGGTGTAGCTACAGAACCAACCCTACTGGCAGGCCTTGCGCATAGTGAGTGTGTAATCTTGAAGAAACTGGTAGAATATCATTAGATTATTTAACCCAGACTTTGATTTCCTAAAACTTAATGCCCAGTGTGGAATAGCATGACTCTAAAGGTGGAAGCGTTTAAATTGTTAGGAAATAGTTTACTGGTACATACATATTTTAAATGTGTTTCAAATCACAACAAATACTGATTTGAATTTGAAGGCGTTAAGTTCTGAAAGTCAGTGTATTAACCCCTCCTCTCCAGTCACTCGTGGCTGTCTGTTGGCCTGCTCTTCTGCCTGCCCTCAGTGCGGTGGCACTCCCCTGCGCTGTTAAACATAACACGGCCTTTTTCTCCTCTAACACGTTCCTAAGAGTAGAGTTATTTTGGAATGGTGTAAGTTGAAAGGGAATTTACCATGTAGGATATACTTTCTGTTGCTTGTACATCTTCTCCATCTTGCCCTTACATTTTCCATGTATCCACACACTCATCTTTATGCAGATCCTTTCTGAAACAGGCAATTGTAATTACACTCAGTTTTGGTATTAAACTTTTTGAATGTGTACCCCAGTTGATGTGAACAATTAAATTATGACCTACACGTCATAGCTAATTAGCCAACGTCCAATGACGTGGTAGCCTTTGATCATGTGACCTTGCTGTTCTTGAGTTGTGCACATTGCTGTAAATCATGTGCGTTTATCCTGTATTTATGTTAACCAGCCAACTTCTACTTGAATTGCTGTGATTCAAAAAACTAAAATATGCATATGAAAGTATGGTATTCTTTTTATGTTGTTTTTTTTTACCGTGTCAGTATTTTGTTGTTTGTTTACTGTATCTCAGTATTTTGGCAGGATGAAAGCACAGTCCCTTTCTCAGGATTGTCCTAAGTGCCAAAGGATTCACATCTGGCTTGTTTACTGAGTCGATGGATTTTGGGGGCTCCTCTGTTTGTTGAACCTGCTGCTCTCTATAGAAATCAAAAGGCCACATAACCTGTGTGTGTTTCACACAGGTTTTTCCTGGGTAAATCCAGGGCTTTTTCGTGTATTGAATGCAGTTTGCAAAGAACATTCAAGAAACATCCATATTACAATAGTTTATATTCTCCTAGGCTAGAATATGTTTAGTAGACATAGTAGACACTGTCTTGGTTTCAGCTGTGGCTGTTTGTGGTAATATTTAAAATATGAAGAGCATAATGTAGTAACTCCTGTGTTAGAATGGTAGAGTGAGGGCCTGGTGCAGTGGCTTGATTGGCTCATCCTCCCCCTTTAAGCACCAGGATCCTGTTTGACACCAGTTTGCATCCCGGCTGCTCCACTTCCCAACCAACTCCATGCTTGTGACCTGGGAGGACGGCAGAGGATGACCCAGAGAAAGAGTAATGTACTGTCTACTTTGGTATATTTCAAGTTTTCTAGTTGAGAAAACCAGAAAAATCTCAGAGTTAATAGAAGCTGAAATAGTTGACCAGTGGGAGTCCTGTGCTGACGCTGGCAGAATCATGGCTGAGGTTGGTGTGACCGAACTCAACTCACGTATGCCTAGTTTAAATTGGATGTGGTTTTGTTACTAAATGTCGAGCCATTGTGGAGGAAGGAACGTGTTTATGGTTTCTCAAATGTGACAACTACACAACTCGGGCAAGCCAGAAATTGATTCTGTGATTTCCTTTGTTTTCACTGCAAAGAACAGTTAGTTGCCTTAATTAACACATTGAATCGGGAGAATCAAGGTGGCAGAATATGGTAAGGATACATTTAAAGAGACGGAGAAACGTTAGCCATTGTGAAGCACAGAGAGCACATTCCGGGAAATAGGAGAGGACATAATGGCATCAGAGGGGCAGCTGGAGACTGACAGACACAGGAAAGCAGCAGACACAGTGGTGTGGTGTTAGTGACTGATACCCCAGCAGCATTCCGCAAGCCACGATCTGAACTGCACCAGCAGCCGGAACTCCATCAGCAACAAGGTGGGAAGGGGAGTTTACCGGGAGCTCAGGAGGTGAACCCAAAGAACTGCTTGTCTTGCTGGTCTGTTTGATTTGACCAGGAGCAGAGGCAGAGCAGCAGGTCCCAGGCGGGCAGTGCAGGAACAGGATAGGTTTTACAGCTGAGTCTTGCCCCCTAGAGCCGAATCGGGCACCAGTTTGTATAGGGAGGCAAAGGCTATGGGAGAGTACTGCACATGCAATGAGCTGGGAGCGAACTCATTTCTGGCTCAGTGAACTGCAACAAACTGGCATCCTACTCGTTGCACCCAAGATAGGCAGCCCTCACACCTGATGGCCAGCAGATCAAGGACTCTAGTAGTGGCACATCAGGCTCCATTTCTTAGAGTGTGGCAAAAAATTTAAGACTGCAGGGGACAACAGTCATCATATGGGTAAAAATACATCCATGTGACCCTCAGACCTAATGGCCAACAGGTTCCAGCAAGATCACCATCACCAACAACTTAGCTATATAGGATACCTGGTGTCTCCCCAATCCTGGGACCTGCTCCAACCAGAAGGGGGAGAAAGGTTGTACAGACAAAGATGCAGCCTCAGCAAGGTATCTCAGGAGGTGGAGAGTAGAGAGCCAAGAGCTGTGACTGTGGAGACATGGTAGAAATCTAACATAAGAACCCAGACCTGGAACTCACTGGAGGGAGTGGCACAAGTGGCCCTACTCCAGAAACTAGAAAATAATTACCAATATAACTCGATGTTCAACTCTGACGAGAAGTTAGAAAAAAATCACCTCAACACCTCTTCCAATCTAAACGTGATTGGAAAGGCTTTCAGGAAGGTGGTGGGAGGCTGTGCCCCCAGGGGCGCCTGGCACTGCAGTGGTCCCCGGAGCCATGTCCAGGGTCCCCAGGGACACAGAGGCCCGGCAGGACTGGGCAGTGTTCCCTGCCTTTCAGAGGGGGGCCTGCACGTCTGTTCGTTCGTGTGCAAGATCCCGAGATGGCAATCAATTACCGTCTTGATCATGGAGAGAAGTGAAGACTGGTTTTGCGACAATGAAGAACACTTGGAATGCCATCTGCAGCGGTCCATTACCCTTTGGAGCTGGCCCTTTAACACAGCCGGTAGTACTGTTGTGTGGCTGCAGATGTGTGCTGAGTGTTAATAGCTGTGCGATTGGATACAGAATGTAGCTCGAATGAGATGAGGAAGTTGGAAACAGTCGCGGGATGCCCTCACATTCCCTTTGCCATAGGAGACTCATCTAAAGATACTGCCGTTCTCTTGTTGAGATCATTTCACTCTGATTCCAACTGAAGATGAGATAGATACCCCCTTTATGCCTCCCTGCAGTGCGTTTAATGTCCCCACCGCTCACAGTGGGCTTGCAGCAAGCGCTTTGCCATGTCATGCAGGAAATCAAGGATTTCAAGTCAGACTTTGTTTACTGGTGCAATTCCCTCCTTGCTCCCTGAGGGTTTCACTTGAAAGCAGGTGAGCAGAGGGGGCGAGCTCACCGCTTCAGGAGCAGGTCCCAGGCCGGGCTCACTGGCGACAGGCAAGGGTGCTCAGGCCCCAGAAGCAGGAATGCAGTCATTTTCTGGTTGATTCATGTATTCACATTCAGCAAATGCTTCCTGAATGGCGAAGAGAGCCCGGCAGAGCTGGCCACAGCTGGGAACTTCCATCGCCGCTGCTGCTGTGCATCCCGTGAGAGACCACTGAACTGGCACAGTCCAACAGTTATGAAGGAGAGGACTGGTTCCCCTGGCACCTGCCAGGTCGAGTTTATACTCCAGCTCGTGCCCCCGGAGCATCTGATCTGGGAACTGGGACAGATTGCAAGGGCGGAAAACCCAGCTCAGCTTTTGGGGGCCCCCTTGTGAGACTGTGGAGGACAATGGGATTGCTCGCTTAGTGTGGGAAGAACAGCCATCACCTCCTTGCCAATTCTGGGCGTCTGGGTGAGCCATTGTCTGGTGGCTTTCCCCTTTCTAAAGTGACTTGATACCCAGCGCTGTCTTGGGCACTACCTGGGGCGTGCACCTGTGAGAAGGCTGGGCAGAGGCAGAGCTGGCACCCCCCAGGATGCCTTGGGCCAGGCTTGGTCTGGCTGACTTTTGCTCAGGAAAATTTCTGCCAACCTCTGTGTTTACTCTTACAAAAAAAAGGAAGAAACTTACATTGGAAAGGAAATAATTGAAGAAAGCCAACATTTGTCCTCCTATCAACATGAAAAACAGGAACAGAGAGGAGTCAGGAAGTCACAAGTTTATCTGGTGCCTACCAAGGGCAAAAGCGAAATCTCGAGGCAAATTTACCTGGCCAGGTGTTCTGCCAAGCCATGCCAGGGCTGGCAGGTGAAAAAAGCTGCCTGGTGTCTTAGAAGAAAAAGTGACTTCTCTGCCTGTGGATGCTTCCACTCCTGTCACTGCTCTTGGAAACTCCCAGAAATTTCTGTCTCGAAGGGTCAGCCACACAGCGACCCCGTGCTCGGGGCTGGGTCTCAGAGGCCCGAATCGTCTGGGTCCAGGCAGTTCTGTGCAGTTACATTAGTTCTTCCCCAGGTTTCCTGCCTCCTCACAAGACTGTGACCAGCCCTACCCTCGAGTCGCCCTGGGGACCCAGAGAAGCCCTGCTCTCCCTGTGTGGGATCACCCTGTAAGTAAAAGGTATATGTCCTGCTGGCATCGCTCAGCAGGGACTATCCTCGGCATTAAGGGCATTGGGGAGGACCAGAGAGAAGGGTGAATGACAGGTGGTATGGGATGGACCCACACTACACAGCTGTCCGTGCCCTACAGTCCGTGTCCCACAAGAACGCCAGGGCTGTAAGCAGCAGATTCGAATACTCTCTTACATACCAGTAGTCAATATTTTGATGTCAGTGTGTTTTCTGGAAATACATGTACTGTGTAAATCCAGGCAGAGTGCGCTGTGTTTGAATTAAAACTTCACTAAGAGGGGGCAGGCATTTTGGTGTGAAGGGTTAAGCCACTGCTTGCAAGCATACTGTGCCCAGCTACTAGCTTTTGTTCCAGCTCCCTGCTGATGCACCTGGGAAGGCGGAAGTGTTGGCTCAAGTACTCCGACCCTGCCAGTGGATGGAGCTCCTGGTCTCGTCCCGGCCCAGCCCTGGCCGTTGTGACCACCTGCGGAGGGAGCCAGTGGATGGAAGATTTCCTTCTCTCCCTCCTTCCCTCTCCATCATTCCCACTCCCTTTGATGTTTTCAAATTAATTGATTTTATTTTTTAAAAGATTTATATTATTTTTTGAAAGGCAAAGTTACAAAGAGAAAGGGAGAAATAGAGAAAAAGATCTTCATCCACAGGTTCACTTCCCAAATGGCCGCATGGCTGGAGCTGGGACAGGCTAAAGTTAGGAGCCAAGAACTTCAACCGGGTCTCCCACGTGGGCGCCAGGGCCTCAAGCACTCAGGCCGTCTCCTGCTTTCTCAGGCAGGGAGCTGGATCAGCAGCAGAACAGCCAGGACTCAAACTGGGGGGAAAAATGAAAGAATTTAGTAAGGGCATTTATCTTTCAGAATAAGCAGTTGATAAGAAGCAGTAGATGGTGGCCACTTGCATGGGCCCCTGCACCCAAAGCATGACGGCAAAGGGGGTTCCTGACCAAGCTTCAGCCTGGCCCAGCGCTCACAGTGGCAGCCATTTCAAAGACAGAGGAAAGACTGTGTGTGTGTGCGCACATGCATATGTGTCCTTTCAAAGAAATCTTTAATTTAAAAAAGACAGAAAGCCAATGAGAATGCAGTCCTCACCAGTCAGAATGCTGCACATCCGGAGGACGAATGGTC